CGACTAAAAACGCCTTACTATACATGGTCGTTTTTTTCGGCTAAAAACGCCTTACGATAAATGCTCGTTTTTTTCGGCTAAAAACGCCTTACTATACATGGTCGTTTTTTTTTTTTCGGCTAAAAACGCCTTACGATACATGGTCGTTTTTTTCGGCCCAAAACGTCTTACTATACATGGTCGTTTTTTTTTTTTCGGCTAAAAACGCCTTATTATACATGGTCGTTTTTTTCGGCCCAAAACGCCTTATTATACATGGTCGTTTTTTTCTACAAAAAGCGCCTTACTATACATGGTCGTTTTTTTTTTTCGGCTAAAAACGCCTTACTATACACAGTCGTTTTTTTCAGCCCAAAACGCCTTACTATACATGGTCGTTTTATTCGGCCCATACACAATGAAATGAACACCACAGGTTAATTTTTTTTTATTTTTATTGATTTTAGAAGCGTTCCCTGAAAAATGAGGTCAATTCAGAACATAATTTTACAACGTCTTTTTTTATGGATTTTTATGGCCTTTAAGAATCCGTGTGAGCCCTGGGTTGGCTGCTTGCATATCCTGAGAGGGATGACGTTTTCTTCGGGGATCCCAGCGAGTTTCATTTGGGTCCAGGTGGTCTATCCTTGTTATCCATCCCAGACCCGCCTCCAGGCCTCGACCCGTCGCCACCAGGGGGGCGAATGTTGTGCCACATCTTGACCACCGAGTTCCTCTTGCCCCAGATCAGTTTGTGACCGTACGTCACATACCAGCTGCACAACAAAACCACAGTCAGTGTTTAGTGACATTCAAATTCATGTTTACAGTTAATATCAGATTAGTTTTGTTTTAATTTTCATTCAAATTTTAAAACAGACTTCTTCACGTAGGAGTGAGCAATATTTTTTTTTTCTGCTGTCGGGTGACAAATGCATCGGATCATGAAACACATTGAAACCCGATTTCTCAGACTTTACAGTTTGAAAGTAACTTACAAAGGCATGAGTTACTTTGGTTCCATTTAAATCAGGTTTTCATGTTGCTCAAGGCAACAATGAAGGAATTGCAGCAATTTCTGGCAAGCACTGGCTGTTTAAGCATGTGACAACAAATTCCCACTTTCTTCAAATCATGATTTAAACTTCTCCTTTCCTTCACTTACACGCCAAAGAGAGCTCCGCCGATGTGAGCCGCATGGTCAAACATCTGCCATCCCAACAGCAAGCCAGCCATATCCAGAGCAACAACAGCTTTCAGCACCTAAAGAGCAGTACAATGGAATTTATTCGCTTAACGTGCATGAGGCAAACACACTCAGCTGTCATTTTAGACAGTCAGTCATTCACACACTGGACTTTATTCTTCTCAGTCTCGTACAGTGTTTTCCCACACACTCGGGCGCATTCCATTTTCTCAAAAGCTGAAAGCACGCCTTATAATCCGATGTGCCTTATATATGGATCAATATTCAGATTTCTTGAACATATTTTAAATGTTCTGCAAAGCGGTTTGTTCCAGCTGCAGCTGCTGTGAAAGCTCAATATAAGCTGTATTTTATTGTATTTCCTTTAGCGTAGCTCCATCTAGTGGATGCATAACGCAACCGCAGCCACTATTGTCGCTTCTATTCTATACGCCTTATAATGTGGTGCGCCCTATTCATGAAAACAACTTTAAAATAGGCCATTCATTGAACGTGGGCCTTATACTCTAAAGTGCCTTTTTGTGCGGAAAATACGGTGTATATAAAAACAAACAGTTGTGTCGAATCAAAACGAAGCATTTTGATCTCTGAAGGCGCAAGGGGATCTCATCACACTGTTCCACTCACATTTCCCGCTGTGAACATGACCATAGGGAGGAAAATGACCCTCAGTTTAGCATCTGGCACTTTGAAACAGACCGCAGCTACCACTGCCATGATTGCACCTGACTGATGGGCATCAAAAAGGTCAAGTTAAAAAATGTTAAAAAAAAAAAAATGGCTTGTCCTGCATCGACTGCTATTTGCTCACCGCTCCTAATGAAGGGAAGATGCGTCCAGAGGCTGTTTTACAGACGTAGCTGAACATTGTGGAAATAACACCTGGAGAGAAATAAGAAGACGGGCAGCCGAAGCACGTTGCTTCTGTTATTCAACACAATGAAGGGCCAGACAGAAAAATACTACACACACACACACACACACACACACACACACACACACACACGTCAATATACAATTTTTTTCACAAATCGATAATATTGGTCTGTCCCCACATGGTGTTGTTTTTACTTATTATTGACCAAATTCCAAAAAATGTAAAAGTCTTGAGAACAAATTCATTAACTCCGAGAATTGTACAACTCTGCCTACTCCTCTGTGGGAGCTGTGCAGGCATCAAGTCGCCTTAAGATTCAAAGTCAGGGTAATTTTTATCCAACAATGAGAAAATACATTCATTCATTCATTTTCCGATCCGCTTTATCCTCACAAGGGTGAGGTGAAAAAGGTTTTAGCAAGCCTGGTTTGTCAATGATAGATTGCTGTTATGCTTTGGTGCAGAAGGAACTGGTCAGCCACGAAGGTAAAGCGAATGCAGATTCAGTTTGGGGAAGATGACAGAACCACTTTTGTTTGTTTGTGTACGAATAAAGAATAAAAAAAAAAAAAAAACAACAAAAAGAAGAAAGCCTTTGTATGAGCTGAATTCATTTCTGATGAAAAATCCCTCACCCCACCCAACTTACCGGCTGACATATAGACGGCGAGAAACTGCTCCCTCCCTAAGAGCGAGACGACCCCTGAGGAGAATGTCCACAGGACGTACATGTTGGTCATCAAGTGGAAGATGGAGTAGTGACTGAACGAGGACAGGACCATAGGAAGGCACTGACTCTCTGACCAAAAACAAAGAGAAAGAGTTGGGCTCCCTTTCATTCGCTCAGACAAATCATGTCATAAAAACTTTCTTTTAACCCTTTCATAATACTCACTGGCGGCGGGGTTTGAAGTGAAATATTTCATCATGGTCCTTTGCAGCGAGGGGATTCTCCAGCAGCACAACACCAATGCGTTGGCCACGATAATACCTGCAGAAGAGCCATCAAGTAGACTGAATATCTCTAAAAAAAAATACCGTGGATAGAAAAAGTCTACAAATGCCTGCTTTTTGTGATCTCAAAAATGAGATCAATAAAACATTTCAGAACGTTTCCAACTGTAGCCTCCTACCTGTACAACTCGGTTTAAAAAATTATTTTGGTGTGGGCAACAATAACCCCTTCATGCACCCTGTAACCTGATAAGCTGTCCACTATAGTAACCACTGTCCCTGAAAGGGTTATATGAAACAAAAAAAAATCATGCCCTATTAAAAAAAAAAAATTTTTACACTTCTGCTGAACAGCTGAACTTTATTTGGGATTAATCAGAAACACTTTAAATGGTGGCGCATTTAAACATGATTTGAAAAGTGATTGGTTAATTTGGAGCACAGGCATATCCCTAGTTAGAAGAGGGTGTGCACACTTGTGCAAACACATTATCTCAGTTGTTGGTTTTTACTCCCCGCTTGAAATGATTTTTTTAATTCAATTGATTGATACTGGTTTTGTCACATGAATGGCGGACAACGTTCAGAAATAATTTCTCATTTGAAGGTGTGTGGATCTTTGCATACCCACTTTCGAAAGACGCATGTAAACTAAGTATGTTGCTGACCAGTGACGGTCCTCTGGCCTTCAGTGCGTCTGCCCCAGAAGTCGTCCACCACAGACATGAGGATGATGAGCTGGCGCTGGAAGACCGTCAGTTGGTTCCACCAGTCATGCCAGTACGCCATGTCGGGGGAACCCTACCAACACAACACAAAGATCCTCAGTGATTTTCCAAGCGGAGTCTTTTTTTTTTTTCTTCTTGAAAACAAAACCTCACCGCTAAGAGGTTCTCGGACTCCTCTTGGTCCTTTAAAGTTCGTACTCTCGACTTAGTGTTCTCGGATTGCAGAATGGCCGCGGCACCAAAAGAGCAGCCTGTAAACTGACGTGGCATTAGGAGAGCTACTTCATGTGTCGAAAAGTTGAAATATTATGTGGCAAACAGCTTCATATGAAGACAAAAAGGTGATAGTATAATACACATACTGTATATATATTTATTTAAAAAAAATCTCAACATGATAAAAGAAGTTCTTATATGAACCAGTACACAATGAAATGTTCAATAGGCCTATCATCAAATTTAGTGCTTGAAAAAAAGAGAAAAAATCGGCAGATTCCTCAAACCAATAACTCGGACTCTGGTGCCAAAAAAGGCATGATCAGGACATGAATGGAATTGGTTTTTTTTTTGTTGTTGTTGTATTTCCGCCATAATAAAAATTGAAACAAATAAATGCTTGAAATCTTTCAGTTTGTGTGTGGTGAACAAATATCATACAAGCTGCAGTTTTTGAAACAATCTACGGAAATTGATGGACTTGCCTCGATATTTTTGGCCAATATTCTCACCGACATTGAAGTCATTGTGTTTCTATTAAATGCATGGTACTTGCTGGATAGAGTACATTAGCTGCTTTTACAATATTGTTTTTAATTATTCTCCAGGAATTAGTCAAAAAACAGATTGGGAAAAGGGGCGCTTACCCCCAGTGTGAACAGCAGAGGCCTGAGTAGCTTGGGCCGGGGGACATGAGGGCGAAGTGTCGGTCCTTGTGGGCTTTCCGGAGGTCCAATGTTGTTGGTGTGTGTTTCATGTCTGGCATCGCCTTTCTTTGTTTCTGGCCTTTTAGAGTGACGACGGAAACCACGAATCGCTTGACAGTAAAAGTCGAGCCTTTGAAGCAACAGGGAAGCATTTCAGAGGACCGTTAATGACATACGCAGCTTACGTCATGATTTGAGTTGTTCAATGAGAAATTGCATGGTGTAGGTTAACAGGTGATGGCGCAGCATGCTGTAGTTATGCATGACATGTCAAAAGCACGCTTTATGTGATTACAATGGATTAAAATCAAGAGCGTGAGCAGACACATGACATGCAAAAAGGAGAGTTAGCTGCCATTCATTGACACTTGGTTCCCAATGACAGTGGCCGGCTGTTAGCTTCAGCGTCACGCACTCACAGGCATTCTATCGGCGTCATTCTTCTAGAAAAATATAAAATATAGTCTATAATCTTTTATCTACTTGCCTGGAAGCTCGCCACGTGATGTTTTTTGCAGGGATTTGGTTTATTCTGGTCCAGTTTACGATGCAACTGCTCCACGCCATGTTTGTGTTTGTGTCTTCAACCACAAGCTCCGCCCACTTGCTGAGTTTCAGCCAATTGAATTCCAAGGTTGGCAACGTCATCGAAACGTCAATTTAGTTCGCTTATAACTACGTAACGTATGTTTGCAGTAGCTGGTTAGCCAAATTAGGAATGGGTTTAAATGTCAAAGACAATGAGGAGAAGCAAGAAAATGTAAAGTACTGTCCTCCCTGTGTAGCAAGTTAAAATGTAGCCATTAGTGGAGTCTTTGAAGGCAACATCTCTTTTGTCAAACACATGCAGCGCTTCCCTCTTGTGGCCGAAGTTGACACTTCGGAATGCGTTTAAAATTTCAACGTGACAAAATAAAATAAAATAAATGTCAGCAGTGAATTACATTTGGAGTACCACGTGCATGTATTAAATTCAAGTTCTGATGAATTATTAATGCATTTATATCCTAAATTCAAAGAACAATGCTCAACCGCTAATATTAATTATACAATCATGTAGATGGGCTCATGTGTCCCTAAACGTATTTTTGACGATGATATAAAATGAGTACTTCTTTCTAGCACAATAGGTATTTGAGATATTTTAATTTTTTTTCTTTTGAAGTTTGACCTGTAAAAGTTTGTGCAATACTGATTTTACCATTTACAACATTTCATAAAAATTCTCACCTGTTGTTGAATTTAATACAATCGTTTGGATCATTATTCACAGAGAAAAAGACGTCAGGGGTTTGTTTCTACGTAAACAAGAGAGAAAGCAACAGAGGCCCATCAGAGCTGAGCAGTATTGATGGCGGTGGGCGTTGTTATTGGCATCCGGACAAGTTCCACAAACTTCGCACAAGCTCACCATTGACTCTGGAATTAGGGGAAGAAGTTCCAATACAGCTGCACTGCAGTGTCCGCAGAGAAGCCAGGGCTCCCTTCCAAGGCCACAGCTGCAATACACCTGCTGACCTTTAGTATCACTTAATACATGCCTCAAAGCTGCTGATGATTAGCGTTTCAGTCATCGAAATGGTGGGTGCTCCCGTTGCTTCTTTGTACATGTATTCAACTATTCATAAAGAACAGCAGTAGGCCTTTGCCTCCCTATTGGCCCAAGGACACTCTGACAAGTTAGGTGATATCCTACCGGTGATATTGTCCTGTGGGTCGGACCAGGACATGGTGGCGGAGCAGAGGGGAAACATGATGAAGGGTGAGAGTGATAGGAGAACACACACACACACACACACACACACACACACACACACACACACACACATACACTGAAAACAAGGTGATAATCATCTGTGTGATAAGAGTCACCTTTGTTTTATTGTGTGGTTTAAAATCTCTCTTTGGACAGCATTTTTTTTTTTTTTAATGACTGATGTCAAAATCTTTGCAAGTTCTTTCCTGATCAATCCAGGACATTTATTTTACACAGCAGACGTGTCCACTTTTGTAGGGTACTGTTATTGATTCACTGGGAACCGACGCCAGTCCGTTGCTGGAACAAAGCTGTCGATCACGGGACAGGAAAAGAGATGTCTGAAAAAACACACAGGGGAAAAGTCATCATTCATGTGATTCATTTGCTGATGTCATCTGTGGCTGTTTATGCAGGTCATTTCTCTGACCCAAGCATGACACGTTAGCCTCTCTCGCTTTCAAATGTCTTTTAGACATCAGAGGAAACTGGAGCTGTCCTCATCGAGTCCCACAAGTGCTGACGGGGCATTCTCCCCAACATTGATCAATGAGCCCGTTGGACATTAACACACTCTTGTTTTCTGTCATTTTCCCTCCTTACTGCACTGTTGTGTCACAGTGGGAAGTTAACACAGTGACGTTTCAAATTTCAGTTTACACGTGTACATTAAAAGTAGCACACTGAAGGGCATGTTGGCACGGTTTTTGCCAAATATTGTGATAAAACCATCATCTTTTTCTTAAATGAACACCTATTCTATGTTCTGACTTATGGGTTTTAATAAGACACAGACGTAACCTTACTCTAACTTTATCATACTAATTCTTAAAAAGCTGAAAACGCATCTGCTGTGCTTCCACCTCAGTCCACAGAGAGAGAGAGAGAGAGAGAGAGAGAGAGAGAGAGAGAGAGAGAGAGAGAGAGAGAGAGAGAGAGAGACTTCACCTGAAGCCCCTATCCACCTTCAAATCAAACCCCACCTCCTTCCCGAAGTTGCTGACCCATGCTTCATTGTCCGACACACACCCGTGGGCGGGGGTCTTTTCATTGAAACAAACGCCCTGACTAAAAACCGCTCTTTCTCCCGTGGAGGAGTGTGAGTAACGGAACCCGGTCCGGGTAGCATCTGCGGTCGCTTAAACTTCTGCACCACAAGGGGACATGGGGGATAAAAACGCCGGTAAGCAAGCCTCCGAGCTACGAGCTCATTTTAGAAGGTGATGTTGAATTTGTTCTTTTGGATCGGTTGCCATGCATCTGACCTGCGTGCATTCGAGGGGTTGTGCACTCGACGCGGGTTATGTTGTTGGAGGAATGTGTTCACTTTAGGGAGCCGCGTAAGGAGAACACCGGGCTGCTGCAGCACGTGGTTGCTTTTAAAATCCCTCCACTTACTCGGCGACTGGGTGTGAATAACCGAGCGTGCAGGCTCAGTATATTGACAGTAGTTATCTCCGCTTACATTTTTGTGTTCACATGCGTTATCAATCCCCAGCGTTGCATCCTTAGTGTAGTGCAAATATTAGTAGGCTGGTTATTCTTTTCTGGGTCTTTGAATCTCGTTTGAAAATAGTTTTATTGGACAAATGTGCAAGCCCGATTATATTTCCCAAATTTAAGGTTAGGGGTTGCGGTCTCAATATTAGGTTTGTCAATTGCCTGAGTAAAATTATGCAAGTAGACTCATTTATTGTCAAGTAAATGTTTTTTTTTTCATTCTGTTTCAAAAGTATTGCTGAGCATTAAGTTGAGGAGCTTCTTTGAGACAAAAGTAGTGCTTCGCCACCATTCTGTGGCGTCTTGATGTCAAGGTACTGTATTAAAATGAGTTGAGGAGCTTCTTTGAGACAAAAGTAGTGCTTCGCCACCATTCTGTGGCATCTTGATGTCAAGGGACTGTGTTAAAGTGAGTTGAGGAGCTTTGTTTGGGTAAAGCTAGTGCTTTATCGCCATCTTCAGGCATCTTGTGCCAAACAACTATGGTGAAGTGAGTTGAGGAGCTTCATCTAGAAAGGCGTAGTGCTGTTCTGCCATCTTGTGGCATCATGGTACCAACGACCTACAAATCCCAATTCCAATGAATTTGGGACATTGTGTGAACGTAAAACATGCGAGGGAAGACTGGAATCCAGATTTGTGGGAGTCGTTTGCTTATTGGCCCAAAACAACTTTCAATTTCACGTGAAATAGATGCCGTCCCTCTCCTAAACTATCTGAACAGCACGACACCATGGATGTTTGGCGATCGCCTTACAAGGTGAACTTTTCACCTGGCATTCTGCGCATTTACTGTGAGTGGAGGTGAAACCAAAGCTGTCTTATCTTTCCACGGTGTCATCACATGCAGATGAGAGTTTGTTCCGAACACACACACACACAGGACATCTTGCTTCAAGGAAGGTTATGTATAGCGGTGCAGCAAAACAAGTGGAGACAGACAGTAACTTCCATTTACTGTATCGAGCCCTTTCCTAATACATTGTCTTCTTTGTATACAGTGGTGAGTGGTTGTGCACCGCGAGAGTATGGTTATAGAGAGTTGAATATTCAGCACCATCGCTCTCTCAGCATGCCCCTCCCACCTTCCCTTTCCTCACCCAATCCCTTTCCTCCTCACTGACCTTTTCCAATTTGCATGGCTACTGCTGCTGTTGGGACGTTTTGCTGACCCGGAACATCCTTTTATGTACGTCGTATACATTAGAATACTGACAACGTGTCAAGACCAAGGTCGGTGGCGAGATTATATTGCGCTTGTTGTGCAAACTTGCGCGAAACCTTATGAGTGCGGCAATGTAAATGCTGCAAATGCTGCACTGCAATTGGCGCTCTGTCATTTTTGCACTGTTTTTTTTTTATTCAGGTAAATAGCACTCTATAATATTGTACTTGATAGAAACATAATAATAGCATAATTCGAGAGAATGTAAAGAACATTCATGCAGGCAAACAAAGAGGCGATTCACTCAACTACTGTAAGTGGCTCGGAAATCTGCAGCAATCATTTTATAGTTTTTTTCATTGTATCCTTTTTCAGAGGATAAAGAATATGTGCCTGAGTATTGTTAGACCGCCTGTCTACATATT